GCCCTATAACATGTTATGTTCAAATCAAGAACAACTTTAAAATGTCAAAATACTCCCATATTCCTGTTTTCTTTTTTTTTACCCTGGTGAGTAGGCTATTTGCAGCAGTGTACGATAACACCCCATCCATCACATGACCCTTAAACTCAGAATTACAGCTAAGTTTCATCTCACTAGACCAAATAGTCCTCTGGTATTTGATAAAATCTCACGCAAACAGAGGTGTAGTTCTGTTCAGGAAAAACAAAAACAGAGCTCCAAGTCTTTCTGAATAATGTTACTGTCTGTATGCATGTATGAGTGTCATTACATCACTGCTAGGAACTGACTGTTGTGGAAAGTTGCACTGAGAAGGTATAAACAGACCTGTTTAGTCTCTGTGTAGAAACAAACCAACCTCTTTAATGCGTTTCCCCATTTGAAGAACATACATTGCTTTCCATTTCACTGAGTCTCAGGTTTCAGACCAAAGTAGATGACTTCAGAATCCCATTAAAAAGGTACAAAGGTTAGTAGTGAACCACAAATAGAAAATTGTATTAATGCAATGTTATGAATATGGACTCAAATATATATATTTTATTTTTCCAATAGTTAAAAGGAATATGCCTAGCATTGTAAACTTGAATAAAAATTGTGTTTTTTTGTTATATTTATGTAGATTCTATATTTAGTCATGACCTCAATTGTATCCTGGTAACAAATAAAGCATGCATATGGCTTTTATTTTAGCATGTATGTTTCTTTTCCCTTCATTTTGGATTATTTTTACAGCATTAGTTCACTTTATAACTATATAGCTCCATCAAAGCTAAAGACAAAGTGTACCAGGTCTGAAGAAGTAGCAATAAAACTACACTTTAGGACCAATTATGGGTACTCAGGTAGCACTGCTCCTACTTTTTTCTGTTTATAATAAACTCTTTTGCAGAATTACAAACACACAGAGCAGTCACCAATTAGTGAAGCACAGAATGGAGAGTTAAAGTTTTCAAAGAGAAAAACTGAATTTTCTACCTTTCAGAGTGATAAACTGGAACACGTTTCTTATTTTTTGCATAAATCTTCGAAGGTATTGAAATTGAATAGTTTGTTATTAGTTGTACCGAGGTGTTGATGGGTTTATTTCTTTAATAAGATATCCTTTACAACCCTCAAGAAATCATTCCAGCTCTGCTTAAAGAATATTTAGGCACAAAGAATCTGTAGGAGGATTTAGGTATTCATCTCTTCTTCCATTTCTCTAAATGTTGAGGTGTCATTAGCTCATTCACCTCATCCGTTTTCAGGCCCATTACCTCCAGAAAAAGAAAATGTTTCTGTGATCCTGCCAGACTCATGCACTGAGAACCCAAGACCAGCCCAAACATGGAGAAAACCCCCTAACAATAACCACTGGTTAATAAAAACACTGATTGTTTCCAGGGATCCTGAATGGCAACCGTGACTTCTGGACACATACGGCACTTCATAGAACACTGAAATCTGTGAATCAGACTTCTCTTGTTTGGAGGTTACCGAGGTATAAATACTGCATAGCTGATCTCACATTCAGTTTGCTAATATTTCATTTGTTTGGCTTTTCATGAAGGTCATTTCAAGGTGGAAATTAAATGACTAATTTGCTTTGGGAGTCAAACTAACCATGAAGCTAAGGAGAAAGAATTTAAAGCTTGCTTGTCTTTAGGGAAACCGTAGACAGTTATACATTTTGCAAAGGCAAACATCTGGGAGATGAAACTCTGGAGAACAAAAGAACTATCAGCTGGCTTGAAGAAACTCTGAACTGTTATACAACTCACAAAAGAAAGCAGGAAAAATCTCTCCCTGTGTCTGGGGATGGGGCAAACCCAAACTGAAGCTGCTGTCGAGCAGCAGAAGAAGCACATGGTCTATTAAATTCTGTCAACATGTCCTTTGTGGTAGAGGCAGACTTTGAGGACTCAGGAGAAGCTTATAGTCTATTATAATGAAATGCAGACTGAGTGCCATATAGGAATATGAAATTTACAGAGATTTTTGATGCTCCGGACAAGGTTAGGTTGTTGTGGCTAACCCAACTATTTCTGTTTATTACTGTTACAGGCTGGGTGCGAATTATCAAGAAAGGACAACTTGGTGATATGATTCTGCCACTGAGACCCCAGTATGTTAAGCCGATAGAGTGAAACATAAGTTGTATTGTCATGGGTGAGATAGTAGCAGACTGGGGCAGGCAGGCAAAGCAGGAGATGGATGGGATTGAATCAGGCAGTCCATGTAGAAGCAGAATAGAAACAGAGCAGCAGTCAGAACCAGATTTCATCTGGTATAAGATGCAGCACCTGGCTTGATTTATAGATGACAGAGAGCATAAGACATGGACTAAAGCTGCAATGGAGATCTGACCTAGCTTGAAGCTGCATAGAGGATTAGACATGTAGTGATGTTATGAGTCAAGGCTTCAAGGCGTGTGTCGAGTAGTGGAGGGGGCGTTTCTGCAAAGCACATATTGAGGCTTGCTTCATTTAGGGAAGGGGCCAAAATCGATGATGTCCGAAGCCTCGCTAACCCGCCGTACCATGTGTCCACTTTATTAAGTGGTTCAGATCAACCGGAACTATGCAGGCATTAAATGAAGAGTCCGCTCACTTTCAGAATACAAACTTGTGAAAGTACTTTAAGTATGAAATTATTACATAATGTTCAATAAATGATAACTGTTTTTATCCATCTATCGGGTCGCGGAGGCAGTGTTTTTAATTAAGAGTAATTTTCATTTGAATGTGCTTTACTGGATGCATCCATGTTTGCCAAAGAACACTACTGCCACCTACTGGTTTGTGACGTTATGGTGCGGTATCGACTGTTGAGCAAGTCCCAATGCTGTATCTGGTGTTTGTCACAATGCGCTATTATCCATGATGGAGACAACCAGTGCACTATGAGAAGCAGAGAGTAACCGATTAGTGACATGTTTTTTCTCTAGCCAGAAGTTCAATGGCAAATCCTCCCCCTTCAATCCAATGACAAACCCGTCCGTGGAGGACCTTGAATCGGAAAGTTGAAAGAACTTTTCTTTTTACTTTTACCCAATGTATTACAACATCCCACTGCCATGCACGTGGGCATTGTCAGTTTAACTCTAGCTCTGGTGAATTTCAATGGTGAAGTCCTCTGGAAATTTTTAGAGATAGGCACCAGCCCCACCGTGACCCTAACAAGGACTAATCGGTGGAGAAAATGGGTGGATATAGTAGCACCGTAATCAGCTGATGCTGATTACGGTGCTGACTGGTGGCTGAAGGCAACTGAGCGATATCCAGCATGGAGTGGGAACCAATTAGTCCAAAATCTCTGCTCAAACTTTTCAAGGATCAGAGATCTTAGTGGCTTACCCTAGGGGTTTTTGAAAGGAGACCCTGAAAAATTGCAAAATCTCTGATTTATAAAATCTTGTGGTTATTGATTTGCTCTCGGAAAAATGCTGGAGCTCCTTACCCTTGTGTAATTTCCAGGGGATTTAATATAGTTTGGTTGTCTGTTCCATCTATCCATAGATGCATTCATCTGGGTTGAGGGATGTCTCTCAACCAAGTCATTTAAAATATTTAGTAGGTGGTTCTAAAGGAGCATAGGTTAATTTGGTTGTTCTTATGGGCTATCCCAGGCATCCCCAAAGTCGGTCCTTGAGGGCTGCTGTCCTGCAGGTTTTAGAGGTTTCTCTACTTTAGCACAGCTGATTCTAATGATTGCAGTTCAGCAAAAGCCAGTTAATCAACTATCAATGTAAATCAGAGCTGGAGCAGGGAAACCTCTAAAACCTGCAGAAGAGCGGCCCTCGAGGACCGACTTTGGGAATGCCTGGGCTATCTGGTCCTTCTGTACCAAAAGCTGTGTCTGCATTCTCACCCCGGGGCTGCTTAACATTAATCCTCTTCTCTATTGCTCATAAAGGTGTGATTGAGGAGTGAAAACTGTCCAGGATGGAAACTTCAGGGTCTCCTCCTTACTTTGTGAAGATGATGTTGATCCTGTTGGTATTTCTGAGCTGTAATCTTGAGGGTTATTAGTTTGCAGGAAGTGACCAGGATGAGAGGGAGGTCCACTGAGGCTGAGATCATGGCTCTAAATCAAAACATGATTTATTGGTCCTATATGAAAACCGGGTCAGTCTCTGCTTCAAGCAGATTAATGACATCAGTTTGGTGTCCTGTTAACAGTGATGATAGGATGGAGTGGGTGCAGGAAGTGCATAGACTTTGGCTTTGTCCGTATCTGAGCCAGAAAGTTAAGTTCTTGATTTAAACGATCTATTGAGCAAGAGTGATAGAACAAGATCCCAGACAAGGGTAGCTTAAGTGAGATAAGGTAATCATCTTTTAAAGGCATCCCATTGGGAAGAGACAGACTGAGGGCTCATGAGAGGGACTTTTTTCAGTTCTTTGAATTATTTCATTACTGTACCTTTGATGTGTTTTTTTTTCAAGGTCTGGTGTTTGGACGCTTGCCAGGCTGAACCACTCATCCCTTTTCATAAGTTATTCTCAAAGCATAACAGTGCTACACATTTCAGCTGAGTAACCAAACGATTTCTTTTTTACTGTATGTTCTTTTTTTGTCTGACACCACAGCAACATTTCCAAATCTTTAACAGCACACAAAATGTGTTTTTTTTTTTTTTTGGTTTGTTGGGGAATTCAGGGAAAAATAACAACAACCAAAAAAAAAGCTGCTTTCAAATTAATGGACTCTCTTTTCACTGTTTCCCTTGTTTTCTCATTCCCAGCCCTTTTTTTATCTGGCATTCTCTCTCTTGCTGGCAGCATAACCTCATAAAGTAAAGTCATTTGAGGGCTAAAGCAGCCCATTTGGTTTAACAAGGTGATGCAGTGTTATTTCTTTTTCTCTCTCTCCTTTTCTCCCCTTCTATCTCACTCCTCATTCCTTCGTACCCAATTGACACAGTCTCCTGCTTTGCATAATTTTGCCTTTTTTCTCTGTATTTCCCCTCCTTCTTCCTAAAGGCCCCGGTGAGCCGCGATAGGCTTAGTGGGAATAAAACCTGGGCCGTGTGGGAGGTGAGTGACATTTTGGAGCGAGATGGCGAGAGGGACGGCTGCCACATACCTGCATGGAGTTCTTCTCCTGGCTCTGTGGAAACCCTCGCTGCAAGGAGGTGAGTCTCCTTCAATGCATGTGTGCAGAGAAGTGCAGATCAGCATCTGTGGGTCAGGTGTCATAGAAAGTTTGTGTAACAGAGCCAGTAGACGAGATGCATGTTTACTGAGAGTTTAGGAGATTGTTTTATTCATTTGGAGATCCTGTAGACTTTAAATATGTTATGAAAAAACTTAAACACTTGTTATTTTCTGACTAAAGAATTTACATTAAATGTGAAAATACTAACCAAAAATACTATTGGAGTCTTTATCTAAATGATCTAGTCTTTGAGAAGCTTGTAAGGTGAAAAAAAGGATCAGACTTTTGTTGGGCTCAGCTTAAGGTTTATTAACTTTTTATTTTAAAAAGTAGTGTTTGACAATAAGTTGAGAATTAAAAAAAAACTTGCTGCCAAGTGTTCAGTGATTAAAAAATACAGATTTTGAAATCTTACTTTTTATTTGGATGTCAAAACAAAATAAAATAAGACAGAATAAGATATTGTATGCATGTTTTTAATTCTAAAAATACACAGTGCATTTTCTGTCTGAGGTTTAAGAAGGGTATCTTTCAAATAAACCTTTAATTGCACTAATCTATTTCAATGTCTTATGCGTGTGACATCCTTAGCAATTAGTCAATTAAGAGCTTAAGACTTTGCAGATTCATTTGCAATTATTCCAGGTTATTCATCCCTGCTGCCATCAGACTTTACAATGCGGCCCTATAACTGCAACAACTTGTGCAATAACTAATGTGCAATAACTATTTAATACCTTTTCCAATAACCTGTGCAATAATCCTATTAAATAAGAGACTGGAAGCACTGTATATACCCCATGCACCTTTTCCTCCTTTTGGCACCTTCTTTTGTCTATTGAGTCAATGTGACAAGTGAATTTCTCCACAGTGAGATCAATAAAGACTATCTTATCTCATAGAGATAACTAACTTCTGCTAGTTAAGAATAACTGCAGTCATTTATTTGATTAATTTACTTACTTAGACTGAAACAGTCTGCACAAGTCCTTAGAGAAGGAATCCTACCCAAAACCTGATTTACATCATCATATCTTTTAAATACAAATCTCTTGTACATATTATTGCCTTTCATAAGATAAACAGACACAAAGTGATTACTGATTCCCATCTGAACGTGTGCCTGGCATTAGGTTTCATTTCCCCTTTACCCTGATGCACCTAATAATTAAAATAATGAAATGAAAGCAGCACTCTAGATGTTTTAACCCCCTGAATTGGCTTAATTCGATAAATATTAAATGATTTCTCAGATCAACATACAGAACTTGGCAAGTATTGAGTTGCCATTCTCAAAGACCCGCCTAGATAATTTTAGTGTTGGATCCATCACTGAATGAGTTATGTGAATAAAGCATTGCTTTGCCTTAAACATTAGAGCTAACAAAGCTAAGACCTGTTGTAGCAAACAAAACAGATATAACACTTTCCTTATGAGAGAGTCCTTTAGTTCTGTGATGTAGGGTTTAATCTGGAGAGGTGAATGTGACCTTTTTCAGATTCCAAAAGACTGAAGGAGACTGTTTAATTCTGTGACAGTATAGTGTTGCCAGTTGCCCTAAGGGAGTTCATTCTATGATGACATGACATGTCAAAGCTGGTAGGCTTTGGACATGTCAGTGTTTATCAAAGAAGCATTTAGAAGACCCATAGTAACTCTACATGAACTGCAGAGATCCTGAGCTTTGCTGGCCTGGATACATCAACCGTTAGATTTCTACTTTACAAATCTAGCCTTTATGCAAGAGTGAAAAAACACATCCTCTGTCAAATAAAAGCTATAAACATAGAGTAGACAGCACTTCTCTTGGTAAGTGGTTGGGCATACAAGACAAATCTCCAAGATCTTCAAGAAACAACTGCATTTATATGGAAATGAAATCCCATATATGAAATAACTTCTGATGGCAGCTGGATGAGCTGGATTTTAATTTGGAGTATCAGATTAATGAGGGCCACATCATAGGATTTAGTTAATAAAGAGATTTGCATATTATCCCTGCATTTGGATGGCACCTGGTTTAAATTCAGTGACCATGTATAAAGATTTAAAAGTGTAAATATTTTTTTTTGCAATAAACCATCTCTGACGTTCCCTTTAAAAAAAATCCAAACCTGAAATTGACTGGCCGCAAAAATGTGTCTAAAGCACAATACATAAAACTAGAAATAGTGTACTATACAAAACGGGCTTAAAAAATGAGCATAACTGTTATATTTTATAAACAGGGTTTAGTAAAGCTAAATTTACCTGTTGAATTGATGAGATTTCAAAATGAATCCAGAGACAACATATTCCCAATAAGAAAAAAAAACAAAAAAAAAAAACAGACAGGTGTAAAATGTTATACTTCCTTTGTACCAGAGTGTGTTCATAAGTAACTACAGACTTAAGATAAGTCTGCAGACACAGCTAAGTTGGTGAGCAGTAGAGTTATTTAGTGTTGTTCATGTACATGGCATTACTGTGACATCACTAACTCACATTCTTCAAGAATCCCTGCAGACTTCTTTTTACATCTGGACTGTGAGTTCTTGACAAACTTCTCCTTTTATAGCTGTTGCCTCTGTGTGTTTCTATTTTTGGTAACAGAGAATGATGAAATATACAACATAGGTGCAGAAAATTGTGAGAATTATGAGTGCAGAATTATGAGAATGCATGCCTTTTTGGTTAGGCAGCCTTAGTTATCAGCTGGAGATAAATCAGCATTTATAAAAACAAACATGAACGAAATGTTTAAAAAAAACTGCTTTAAGAAGTCACAATATCTGAAATATTATTTTTCTTCTGTCCACAAGAGGATAGATTATAGCGTTATTTATTATCAATGCGCCAATATCTACAGTTTTTTAAAACACTATGAAACAGCTGTAGGTTTGCCAAAGAAACAAATGACTTTTTCACCCCATCTGATGTTTTTAACCAGGTGTATATGTTCCAACCTCTGGAGGAGCTGGAACCGGCACAGGAGCTGGAACAGGAGCCGGCGGTACTGGAACTGGACCAGGCTTTGGTGCAGGAGGAGGTAGTCCAGATTTCCAGTCTGGTGGGGGTGGCGGACTTGGTGCTGGTCTAGGTGGTTTGTTTTTTTCTTGTATTTTATTGATTCTCACTGCATTCCTTGACATTTACCTTTTAAATAGACCATTTAAGTGGTTCATGTTGACCCGTTGGGAAGAAAATAATGGACCTTCATCACTTCAAGGGATTTTAACAGTTGTTTCCAACACGTGAGCTCATAAAATGGGACATTTAAATAGCATTTACTAAAGGTTAGTGTTTTTGGATCTTAACAACAATAAATTCCTTATGCTGATTCAAGTTGAGATAGAAAAAATCAGCTGTAACTCTTTGATTTGCTTCTTTTGCCATTATCATGGCATCCTTCAAATCAATATATATTTTGTATCCTATACTAAGTGAAATTATGTTCAATCAATTATTGACCTCATCTTGTAAATTAGAAATCTGACCTTATCAACAGTATATGTCTCAAAGGCTTTAAAGATCCAAACCAACATTGAAGATTGTATCCTCTTTTAAAACTAAAATAAGTAATATGGATTCGTCAAACGGCTCCAATAAAAGTCACCAATGATCTCTTCACTGTATCTTGCAAAAGCTTCACGTCTATAAAGTTACACCTAAAACTGTTTAGCACTTACTGCACATTATGTCGGCAATATTCTAAATGGTTTGGGGTTTGCAAAAAAATGTATTACACCTTATGTGACCAATAGAACGCTTTATTGGTTGCATCAGGTACACTTAATATGGACTTTTATTACTAATTTGATTCAGGCTATTTTTCATATCTATTATGTCATTTAAGTTTTCCTTGTTAGAAAATGACTTAGAAAGGCATCGTGAATAATAATCTTATTTCTTTTTATTTTTTTTTCTCGGTGTCCTGTCTGTAGCAATAAGAATAATTGTCTTGATGCCAACAAGAGCCCAACAGATTTAACTTTCACAAGTGGATCAGCTTGGCTTGCTCCATATTGTTCTGCTTGATTTATATATGTAATAGCTTTATTATGATTCATGCAGCGGGTATTAAAGATTATATGGACACTGCAATGGGAAAGTAGAACAGGAAAGGAAAAACAAGAAAAAGGAGAAAAGTTGAAAGAAAGAGGAGATCAAAGGGAGACTGATACATTTTATAATAATCTTATTTCAACTCATTTGCCCCTTATTCCTCAGGATATGGTGGACAAGGACCCGGAGGATTTGGTCCTGGAGGCATAAACCCAGGAAGTGTTAGACCTGGTGGTTTTGGTCCAGGAGGAGTTGGTCCGGGAGGAGTCGGCCCAGGAGGAGTCGGCCCAGGAGGAGTCGGCCCAG